ATTTATATGTAGTTTAATAATTCTCCATATTAAAATTTAAGACCATGCAAATGGAGCAACATTTATTTCATGTGGTATGAGTAGAACCTTGATCCTGAATGCCAGATAATCCCTGAGAGCCACTTCCCTTTCTGTGCCACTGGGCTTTCTGTGTAAATCTTTGGTTGCATTTAATGATTATTCAGGGATTTTCTGTTTTAGAGGTACTACTTAAGCCTAGTTGGGATTTTATGTCTGTGAGAAATGAAATATATGTTTATTTTTTGTTTCCTGAAGATGAGGAAGAGATACAGGAGAGGATTTCCACATAGATCAGTGCTGCTACAATATAACATTAATGTGGCATGGTTAGCATATTCTAATGACAAGTTTTAAAGAAAGTGTTACTGTATAAATGTGCGGCCTCTTATCACCATAGCACAACAAAATTACTAAGGGAGCTCTCATGTGTTACTGAGTTTCTTATGCAATTCTACTCCGTAGTAACAGTCTGTAGCAATAGCAGAAAGACATTATGGCTGTGAAATTTCTGGAAGACTGGTATTTCTGAAGTGAGATATCAGCTAAACAGTAATTCCCAGTTCTTTTTTGTAAATCGGCCACCTTCTGGGTTGTCATCCAAATTCCCAAACACCTACTGCTGCTTCCCTCTCAAGGCTGCTGCACAGTGCTGGGAATGTGCTGGCTGTGACCATCCTTGTGCTGAGCTGTCTGGAGAGACAGCCCTTGCACCAGGATTCTTCCAGGGGCATCACTAAAAATTGACTTTCCTGAGTGTGTTCAGAAATAGCAAACCCCCAGGAAAATATGCTTGCAAAGGCTAAAGACTTAGGAGCCACTCATCTAAAGTACTCCTTTACCTGTAGTATATATAAATCTATTCCTACAGTTTATCAAACCCCATAATTTTTGACTCAGTAACTTACTCACCAAAAGACTAGGATGTTAAATTGAAATTGTGATCAAAACTGCCCCACACAAATGTAGGTGAATTTTGAGTATTTTATTATTTTTGTTTTTCATCCTAGAAAATGATTTTATTCTCTGAAAACCTTACTATTCAATTATTCAATAATATCTCCATTCTACTGAATAGGTTGGAACTTTTTTCTTTTGGGTGTGGGAAGTGGAAAAGCAGATAAAGAATCTTCCTCTGTCCTCTGAAATACAAACATTTAGGCAAAGTCTTAAATTATCTTGGTCTTCCCAGCTGTTCCATGTCACTAACATTTTTCTCTTTCTCAAAAGAAGAAAATTCATTGTAGATGGCTAAAATTAAATACTCGGTAGCTGCCTGCCTTCTGCATGGTATATGTTTCCTAGTAGCCACATTCTTTCACCTCTTTTTCTCCACTTTGTAGCCCTCTTCCATTTAACTTTCTTTGATTTGATTTTCTTGCTCCTTGCAACCTCTTCTCCTTGAACCTGTGTGCTTTTTCTTAATTATGGGAGAGGAAACATGGAAGAGATTTATAGTCCATGTGGTCTATGCTCAAGGTTGTGTATCTCACAACTTCCACTTTATGTCAGTTTGTTCCCCTGCTACCTTTTCTGGGTTCTAATAATGTGGTGAAAGCTTTCATGCTTGTTGACTGGTCAGGATGCAGATGACTAACTCCAAACTCCTTGAAAGTTTTTAGTTTGCAGCTACCTAGCATGTAAAGTGTCTTCGGAGTTGCATGATTTTTTTGCTTAAGTAAGTTTTGCTATTAACATCGGAAGCCCACTTGCTCTTCCCCAGTTACCATAATATGTGTTGGGCTGAAAACCACCAGAGCTGCAAAACTCTAGGAAACAAAATTAACTTATTTTCCATTATCTGATGGTTTGTATGATAACTGTGCTGCAGTTTCCTATCTTCAGATAGAGCTCTTATTTTCCTTCTGAGACTTCAAGACTGAAGCATCAAAGTCATTGAATTAGAAACTGATCAGTGCTTTGAAAAGATTGTACTACAGAAAAACACTTTCTCTGTCCCCAGACGCACTCATGCAGGTGAATATATGCATGTAAGTTTCTAACTCATTTTTTACCTCTGGTTAGAAGGAAAATAATATTTCAAACCTGCCAAATAAAACAAGAAGATGATTTTTCTTATAATAACCATGCTGAACTGATTTAATTCAGTTTCTAGGACAAAGAAACTAGTACTGTGCTCAAGTGATGGACAGTTGTTTTATGATGATGAAAGTATTATTCTAATTTAAAAATACCTAAGTTTGCTCTGAGCAAAAAAATATTAATCATGTGGGAAAAGTTATGAAAAGTATGGTACTTCACTTACGTAATTTTTTTTGTGAACCTAGGGAAGCTATTTTCACATGAACATGGGACAGTATGAGTAAACAAAAAAGCTATAAAAAAGTTGCTGTGTTACAGTGAATTCTGTATGACAGATACAGTTGACTAATATGGGTGTAATGGCAAAGAATAAGAGTTTGTTTAATCATTTGGCTTGTGCCATGCATTATGTGTTGGGTTGTTCAATTCACTTGATCTGGTGGTGCTATTCTGTTTTCCTGGTGTTCAAATGAAAATGTCTAAGGCTTGCATCTTTGGGGAGGCTTTGTAGCAGCTTCTGTGTCAGCCCTGACAGCTGTTTCATGTAGGTGGCATGCTCAGACAGACAACATTCTTCCCAACAAGGGTTTTTCTCCATTCTTTTATACGAGCTTATTTTAAAGTAGTCTATTTTCCCATTTTTCAACAATTACTTAATTCAATTGCGTACTTAATTTCTAGTCTTAATTTTAAAACAATGAGTTTTGTTCTTTTAGTTTTATACCTTTACAAACTTTCCATATTTTTAAAAAGATTGCCCTTTAAGAGTGATAATTTTGCCTCAGGGAGCCTGATCTCTCTACTGTAAGAAAGCTTAGCTGTATAATTAACTTTGTAGACCTTGACCCTAAGGCTATTCATAGGATAATGGAGGTTCAGAGTAAAAAGAAGATGACTTTTATAGTATCATAGTGGTTATACAAGGGCTAACTGGAGTAGTTATGGCTGTGGTGATATTATAGACCTGAATCACACCCCCCCCCCCCCCCCCCGTGTATTTTTCTAGCCTCCTTGGTAAAGCCAGCTATTGCAGAAGTCGTCAGCATTTGCAGGTAACTGGGAACAGCAAAAAACTCCCATGACCCTTCAGCCCTCTTTTCTATGCCAGAAACAACAGCCTGCTGTCATTAAATGAAAAGTTAGCTGGAGCAGTGGCTTCTGCTAGGGGTGGCATGCACCCTTCCCAGGAAGAGGGAGAACATTTCCCTCACTGCCTTGGTTATCGCAGTGGCAGGTGTGGCAGACCCTGGAAATGATGGTACTCGCTTGCATGTGCTTTCATATAGAGCAGGTCAGCATTTGTTGTGGTAAGAAAAATCAGCTGTGATTGCTCTATATTTTTGGCAGCCAGTGATGTTTCTGAGAGCCCTTGGTTCTTGGTGTGGCTTTCCTTTTGAAATGGCTGATAACTGCTCTTAAGAAAGGCTCATGTTTCAAATCTTTTATTTTATTCATTTATTTTTTTTCCCTTTTGACTCTGCAGTCTAAAAACTGCAGTAGGAAAAGTAGAAAATAATTAAAAAGGTTAATAGCAAGATGGATAAAAGGATCATTTCCAGTGCATGCATATCTCTGTAAGTTTGTTTTGCCAATATCTGGCCTGAGACAGTGATCAGTGATGAAGAAAGTAGCTGGTTGCTTTGACAACATAATGTGCAGACACCTTTACTGTTTGCAGCAGTGTCCTCTGCATTCAGTTCATCAGTTAACCTATTACATGAGGAATATATTTTACCAGTTACAGAGTATGTAGAGTGTTGGTGATAATCTTGCATAAAGAAAAAGAATATAGTTACTGAAAATCAGGAAGCTTGCCAGGTTGAACAGTTCATCCAAGAGGAGCTGTTGCTTTCTTAAAGACGACGTGCTCAAAATACTGTTGAGTAAGGTTAGGAGTGAAGCTCTTTCTTTTACTTAAGACTGCAACTTCTGTCAAAGTCTTTGCTTTCTTGAAGATTTTTTGTTTTTTTTATACTAATTTTAACAGAATATGAAACTGCCCTTCAAAAAAATGTGGAATTGAAGAATTCACTGCTTCCAAACTAAGAACAAAGTAAAAACTGTAGCTAGCTCAGAGGAAATGGGCATCTTCAAGATTTACGTTCTGCCATAGAGAGACATCTCTAGCAAATTAATATCCCCTTTTACAAAGATTAGGTTCTACAAATGTTGCTTTTGGTAAGTGGACATTTTACCCTGATAAAGGGTGTCACAAATACTCCATTTTCCTTGAGAGGATTGCTTTGTATTGGAGATGTTTCCTGCTTTGATAAACTTGGAACATGCCCCAGTGCTGTATGCTACTTCACCCGCAGCCCATCTGTGCTCTGATCTGATTGCCGTGCTCCTGGGAGGGGTGTCTGGAACCAGCTGGCTCTGTAGGATGGAAGATGCTTCTCAGCATCCATCTTTGGCTCTACAGTGGGTTTTTGTGTCCATAGTCAGGTCATACCTGGTTGTTTTTCTGTTCTAGTTGGGTCAGTTTGGTAATAACTTCCTGCAGAGTTTGGAGAACAGTGTGAAGAAGTTGCAGTGAAATACTACGTATCACAGATGGGGTTCCACAAGTGTAACTTGGCCCCAACAAGGATGTTGCCTTGCCACCAGGACCCTAGCTATATATCAGAACACATGGTGAAAGGAAGGAAGGAAGCTAAAAGCATTCTGTGTGGGCAACACAGGGGAAATTTCCAAGAGTGGATGACATGAGACAGTGGTAAGTTGCAGGTAATGATGTCAATGGGGAACCTGTATCATTGAAGATTTCAGTAAATTGCATTAAAATTTGTGCTTCTAAGGATACCTTGCCGCCATACACAAGCTAGTTGATTTCAGGACAACTTTATGTATGCCTAGGTGAGCTATTGTCAAGAGATGCAACATTCAAAAGAGTGGAGGATTGTATTTCTAACTGGTGTATAGTCTGGAGATGTTTAAAGTATTCTGCCATCATTATTTTATTTTCTGATAGAACTGAAAATGATACATTCCTTAGGGAAAATGGTGGCTTTCTGGTTAGGAGTTTGAAACAGGAGTCTTGAAAAGTAGAACTGGTATGAGTGTTAATAAGCTTGCCTTTTTACATGTTTCACAGTAAGCAGAAGCATGGAAGGAGAGAGTCAGAGGTGTTATATTCCTTTCAGGTGTGTCTCTGTGAGCTTTTTCAAGTAAATCAAGGGGTTGCACTAACACGTACTAAATGTCATGTGTAGATTTGAAAATGCTGTATGATGAAATTAATGAAGTAGCTAATTTCTTGATTTGGTATGTCTGTGAAAATAGGCTGCCTTGGTCTTCTACTCAATATCAAAGTTTTATTTAGCTTTTTTTTTCGGTGTAATTTTTGTTCAATAAAAAGTTGATTTGTATAAATATCAAACACATGATTCAATTAACTTCAATTTTAGTTCATAATTGCTTTTGAATATTCTGTGAGCTCTGTACAGTAACATTGAAATTTATTACTCAATTACAGCTGAATGTAGCACTCATAATGAACAATGATAGAAAGAGTTCAGGGTATGGCATGCAGCCTTATGCTTGTGGTTGCATGTAACATCTTCTGCTGTTTATTTGCCCTGTCTTGTTCTCATTTTAATGTTTTCCAAGTGGATTGCACCTGAAAATCTTGGAATGGCTGAACTGATTTGAAGACTGTTCAAATCAGGTTAATTATTGTAGTGTATGTTGCCTTCCTTGTAATGAGATGAGACTGTTTTCACTTGTATATCTAAATTTTCCTTTTTCTGTTCAGACTTAGAGGCAGTTACATAAGCCATGAATAGATTGTATGGAACAATGACTCACCAGATAGACTATAATGCACATAGCAGTGTTGTTGCAGGGAAGTACTTAATGACTCAGCTTTAGAAAAGGCTGTGAATTGGAACCACTGCACATGTGGATTTAGATGAGTATCTGCCCTGAACCTGGGCCAAGACACTTTGGCACCTCTTGCTGCATGAATTACCGGTCAGACTTTGAAAAGTGCTGGGAGTCCCACCCATCAAAGGGTTTAAATCTTCAGATTTTAATTTTGCCTTGCAGTTAACTCTAATATTTTTGTTGTCTGTTCTTGGCAACTTTAGTGAAGGAGATAAAGCATAAACTTTCTGTGCTTTCTACTCCCAGTAGCATACCAGATTCTGAGGTTTGGCTTTTTAAATTTCTTCTAATATTTTCTTAATCCTTTAAGTGGTATCTTCTCGATACAGGAGCAATCTCCCTGTCACAATTCTCCATCTGCTCACAGAACAGGAGAATACTTTTGTGGTTGATCACAGTCAATATCCCAGTACGTGAATGTCTGAGAGAGAAGCTCTGTTATTTTCACAAACTTTCCAAATGTGGGGAAGTTGTACCTTAACTGAACATTTTTCTAGCCTGCACAGTCATCAGAACAAATCATGTCATGAAAATGGTTCTGGATCGCAGTGGTCTCTGGTGGTGTCAGTCTCTTAGAGCTGTCCTTGGTAGCTGGGTGTTCCTCCCTTCCCCAGGGTAGAGCTGGATCTGTTCTGCTTCACTGATGTGCTGTAGGGGCAAACATCAGCAATCTTAGATGCATTTTCTACCTTGTAACTAATATCAGTATGAATACTATCAGGAATACATTTTATTTTGAAATGTCTGTTTATGATTTGAGTTTTAAAAATTATTATTATAGGACAAAATGTGAAGGAAGTTTGATGTAGGTAATTTTGTTATTGCAATTATAAGGAATGTACTCCTGTATATATTTTCAGACTTCCATACTAACTGATATTTTAGATCCCAGAATGAGCCACCTTACTGCATATCATAGCCCCATGGATTTAACCACATGATTTCTTTCTTGTTCCCTGTACTTCTGACCCTCTGCTAGAAAGTCATGAAAGCCTATTTTTTTTGTCTTGTGTATATGCTGATTCATACATCCATACACTTAAAATAGCTTACACATATTTTTATTTTTTATTTCATTATTTATTTTTATACTCTATACTTAATAGCAGATTTTATTCATTTATAATACTGGATATTTGGTACGGTGATGTTCTTGTTGGAAGACAGTGGATTAGCAGAGAGAAATTTCCAGATGAACCTTAATTATTGATGATAAAAATAATAGTTCCTGTCACAAGCAGTAAAATGTAGCTGTGGTTCCTGTGCTTGTCTGTATTTTATAGATAATCTTATTTTTCCTTCCCAATCACAATAGTGATGTGGTAATATTAAGGTGTGTTTTTCTGGATGGCAGATATTTTTCACAACCTATTGATTTTCCTGTTTTTTTTTCATGCTTGTGCATTCTTTGTTTACGTGTAGCAAACTTAGCTGCTTTGCATGGCAGTGTTTTGTCTTTTAAGAAAATCAGACCTTTCTGAAAGTGTTGTTTGGCCGAGGGCTTGGAGTTGTGTGAAAGCAGAACTATGTCTACTCTACCGGTGAAGAGTATTTTCTGTTTTAACAGTTCCACATAAGTCCTTTTTCATTGTTACAGAAAAACAGACTTCTACTGTGCCTAATGTCATGGCCATAGAAAACATATGAAAATATAAACCAAATTAAAAAAAAGTTGTATGAAATTTGGTATAAAAGTTTATATCTCTATTTATTAAGTATTGGATAAAAAATCCATGTACTTTTTATTAATAACCTATGTATAGTAAAAGATATTTGAACTACTTTTCCCCTGAAATTAATGCTGTCTCAGATTTTCACAGATTTTTCCGAAGTTGATTGTCAATCTTGCATTTTAAAATAAAATGAAAAGCAGCCTGCCATATCAAGTTTTCTTGATCACTAAATAGGCAGATAGGATATGAGATAATATGAAACAACCTGAAATAAGTAAAGTTACATTAAAATTCTGCTTGGATGATTTTGAAAATTCTTCCATCCTTTTTTTTTTTTTTTTTTTAAATCATGCTAAGTGAATTGCTTGTCAGATTCTTGTTAGTTTGCTGGATGAAACTTATGAATTAAACATCTGTGAAAAACGAGGGAGGTGCAGAGCTGATCAGGTCAGTTCTGTTCAGGAGTTCCTTAGAGGGAGCTAATAAAGTTCTTAATCCTAACATGCTTTTAGCAGTCTTTAACATCATGCCTTGCATACTCAAACAACCCTCTGCTTGTTTTCTGTAAGGTTAAGATTGGTGTGTGACATGATGAAGTATACAAAGTGACTTCTTCAGATACTTTCAGGTCATAAAAATTTTAAGGCAGGGGATAAAAATACGGTCTCCTTAGTTACAGAATAGTTTAACACTTACACAGGCATTAAAAAAAAATAGAGGATACTTTTAACAGTTGTGGGAGATACCTGGTTTTTTGTTTTGTTTTGATTTGGAGTTTTTCTGATAATTCAGGTGGGGGTTGTGTCTCAGGCTTTGAAGGGCAGAATTTAGATTCTATGCAGTCCTTTCATTGGAAAAAATATGTTTCTTTTTAAAAAAAGGAGTGATCAGTTCCCTTTTTGTCTCAGTTGCTGATTGTTTGGACTATATTGAAATTAAATAGCATCCAGTTAACTGTTATTTCTTTTGCTAGGTATATACCTACCCTTTTGAACTGAAGTTTTTTCAGTAAAAGTAAATTGGCAATTATTAAATTGTTGCTAAAGTCAAATGAATTAAAGGGTTTCTGCCTTTCATCATGCTTGTCCTCTGTGTGTTTGTGTTTTTCTGCAAAGCAGAAACTTCCTTGTGTCAAAAAAAAGCAGCTTGAATTAAGCTTCAAGTCTTCCATTATACTTTTAAACAGTCATATGTATTTATTTCTTCAGCGTTAACTCACATTTAGTTAATACACAAGAGAACCTACCTCCTGTTGGTCACACAGATTACTTGTTTGCAACTACGTCAAACTTGCATCAGCACTTATTGTTATATTGCCATGGTTGTATATTGTTAAACTTAACCTTGTGCTTGTTTGCTAATCAAAAACTAGCTAGCAGTCCAGATGTTTAACAGAAATATCATAGCTTTGTTTTCCTTTCTAGCCCAACAGAAAAAGTTACTATCCCTTGCTTGAACATCATATTTTATATACGTGCACATAAATTCAATGCATTTGTGTCAAATTCAGTCACAAATAGTCTTTGCTATTTGCATTTTCATGGCAAAGTGAATGTTACCACAGTGAAGCAATATAGTTGCATCATCAAGACTAAGGGAGATATTTTCCACAATTTTTTTTCTACTTTATTGTTTTTCTGAAGTGTGATTTGCTTTGGGATTTCATATTTATACATCAGTATTACACACTGTAACCAAAGTAATTTCTGCTAATGCATTTCTGTCAATGAGTGATTTCTCGCATCATCTGTTGTTAGTTCAGAATCTTCCTTTTGTTAGTTCTCAGTATTACCAGGAAAGAAAAATGGGCTTGCTATTAAGCTTTAGCACTTCCTCAAGTCTGGTGTGTGACCTCTGCTGGGGCACATCATGTCTTTGTAGATTGAAATGTTAATAGTTTCTTCCTCTTACCATTTTATGTTCTGTTTATTAAAGTTTGCAATATTTCATTATGCTTATACAGTGGCCCCTGTTATGAAAGACATCCAAGGGAAGCCTCTAGAAGATGTTTATAATAGTAATAATAAATAATATTTGACTCTAATCAGATAGGAACTACTGACTTTCTCCCCTCACTGTTCTCCCCTGACAATTTGCCATCTTTTTCCTAGAAGCTTAAAGGAAGAAAAACATCTAGAGCTGCTCCTGGCTCTGTCTCGCTGCCTGGTGGTAAAACCCATCACTGGTAAGAGCAGACTAGCCAGAGGAAAGATGTCCCCAGTGCATCCAATGAATATAAGAAAATTGTGGCCCTTGGAAGCAAAGTGTTCAGAACTGTTAGTAGTGACTGAACAGTTTCAGAAATGGTCTCAAATACTTGTGGTTTCTAAGAAACATTATCTTTTTGTGTAAAAATTACATACATGGAAATATCCGTATTTAGGGAAGACATCAGATGTTGGATATGTTTGTAATTGAAAAGTTTCATTTACACTTTGGAACTCTGTAGGTGATCTATTTTTATTTTTTTAATGTTATTTTACATGGCAGGCCAAAGGCATTTCCAATGTGATTTCTCTTAGGTGCCTGGCATTCAAGAAGAATAATGGAGATAGGTAATAATCTAATATCAGGGAGTTCTTCAGAAACATTTTTGCTTAAGTGGGTATTTTTTTTTATATGGATTTGATTAAATACTAATGAATGCAGCAACATAAAACTACTGAGAATATTATCTGATGAACATTGTTTACAACATTATATGAAGAACAGGGTGAGAAATAGATCAGCTTGAATGGAAGTAGACCAGAGAGAATTATTTGGTAACAGCTGGACTCTGGACAAGGTTTTAGTTGTATGGAAACTATGAAAGCAGTTGGCTGTGGAACTGTATAATGAACAACCACGTAAAGTTAGTGATGTCTTCCTGGGTTGGGGAAAAAAGGGAAAGAGTTGAAGATGACACCAAGATTGAGCCCAGTGGCTTTGTGACTCTGAGGGGGCAAATAATAGAGCTACTGATCGAAGCAAGAGGAGAGGGAAAAGGATGAATTTGGATAAAGATAATAAACAACCACTTCAGCTCATGTTAATTGCTATATGCTCTGTTGAGTTCATTCACAGCGGTTGAGGATGGGCCTGTTGAGTTCAGCTTCAATGATAAGTTTGAGTTGGCAGGAAGATTTCAGAATAAAATCTCAGCAGAGATGAAAAACTGAGATTGTAGATCCTGAATTCTTGCAAGTGGGCCAGTATCTTGGTTCATTGAGTTGTGATGGCAGTTTAGGGAAGATGAGTTAGCTGTGCAGAAGTTGAACAGAAAAATCCTGAGGGAGTCTGAAAGAACAGGAAAAGAGAAGAAGAAACCCAAAGGCCAAAGACAGGTTAAAAAGAAGAGAGATAGGAGCTTGGAAAAGCGAAGGATGTGAAAGAATCCTAATAGTGAGATTAACTACAAAAACTGAAAGCATATAAATAAAACAAGAGGAATATTTTTTTTTTCACTCAGTTTAACGGAAAACAGATAAAAGTACTAATTCTCTGAGGCAAGGATAATATAATACATAATGTAATTGTAACATAAAAATTAGTTCAAATAATTCTCATTTTCAGGAAGATATTAGAAAATATAAAGTTTGTGTTTTCTCAGCTCTTATATGTATTTGATCATAGTTCAAATCTTAACATATTTCAGTGTCTTTTATGTTTTGTTATATTTACTTACAGAAGACAACACATGCTGAAATTTTTTCATTAGATTGACATTACATTTAAATAATTGCATCCAGGCAATGTGTAAAGAAACTAAAAAGGCTGTAAGAGTTTAGGTGAATACCAAAACCAATCATTTGTCTTTTGCTGGGTAGTTTTATTTCTTTGTGTAAAAATACAGATCAGTAAGCAAATATATGTGATACTAATATATAATTTTTGTACATTTTCCCAAGGGTTGTAACATGGCATTATAGTCTTCAGATTAGTTTTATTGTCTAAATAAATTCTTTAATTAAATTGAGCTCTTTTTTATTTAAAGCTGTCTTTTGGGGAGATATTGCCTTAGATGATGAAGACTTAAAAATCTTTCAAATTGACAGGACGATTGATCTTACGCAGCACTCCAACGAAAGACTTGGCCATAACACAGGTATGATATTTCAAGCTTGTTTTAACTTGTTTTTCCTGATATTTATTTCTGCATAGAAAGCAATCTCACTTTTAAATGTAGAAAGTCAGTACAATGTTTTGGGCACTAGTTTTTACTTTAAAGAGAATATATTGTTGCTTTATGGGGAAAGAAAGAAGCTAAAATTTTGATTTTATTCTGGCTTTTCTGATTAATAATATCACATTGAACTGAAGAGCAGAAGCTGGTAGGAACCATAAGTCCACTCCCCTCTGCAGGTGTTTGTGTGGGAAAGGAAATTGTACAAAGCTTTGCTTTCATCACTAAAAGTTCCCGACCACAGTGCCTGAGTGCCCTATAGAGAGCATATGTGAATTCCTGGAGTCAATACTGAGAATCCTGGATTACAACTCTTCCTTTAGCTATTTTTTCAGCTCCATTCAGACCTGTACCCAGATTTAG